CAACCGCTGCAAGTCGAATTTTATTATATTTATTCCCTTAATCTGCAACTATCAATAGCTCAACAGCAACCCACATAATAAGATTTCGTTCATATATTCATTTGAACATCTTTTTTTTCGTAAATTTATCCGAACCTATTTCTTATGTTCATGAATTCTAAAAGTTGAGTTTCTTAATGAGGTTGATGGTTCAAAATGATTTAGTTAGAATGTTAGGGTGTCGTGATTCTATACATTTTTTTTCATTCATTCGGCTATGATTAATGAACTATTAATACATTAATTTTAAACTAGTTTTTATCTCGCACGTTGAACATGTGCTATTAAAAAGGAAGGGAAAAGAAATCGAATTTTGAATGATATTAGTAAAAGATAATACTATCTCCATTCCAAAAAAACAGTCCATATTGAGTTTTGAGATTTGTACTAGTTTTAGCACAAATTTGAAAACTCAATGTGAACTATTTTTCTAGGAATGGGGGAGTAATAGTTATAAGTGTTTTTTGGTGCGAGTTATCATTGAATACAAAGTTCAAAACCCGCCAAATAAAAAAAAAAATTCATAGCAATTGATTGTATATAATAATAACAAAATTGATTTTTTCAAAAAAAAAAAATTGATGTATCAATAATGAAAATCTTAATTGGTAGTTTATAAAATTCAATAGTTCAAAAAGTTGAATTGGTAAAGTACACGGATAAAAAGCAAAAAATAAGAACTGCACAAAATGTACCACATCTCCATGGATGAAATGAAATCTAACCATTGATCGATCTTGTTCGTCTCCAGCTTGTGTAGTCTTCTTCCGGGAATTGGGTAGCTCCTTCTGTTTATCAAAAAAAAATAAAAATGGTAGCTCCTTCTAGTGGTTTCTCTTTTTTCTAAAAAAAAAGGAAAAAATTCAACCTCTCTTTGGCTGTTTTGTTTCTTCTATCAATAACTGGGATATCTTCATGTCTTGAAAAATAAACTAATTAACTTGATCAGAGAGAAATCATGGACATTAAGGCTGGATTGTACTAAAATTGAAAGCCCCTAACTGTCTTCCTTAATATTGTCACCCGTAAATTAGTGCATGTAATTACTGTCAAGATGAAAAAATTAAGCTCTAGGACAAGACAATAGAGAAAGTAATCCCACCTGAAAATCTCATACATCTCTTAATTACTCAAAATTGATTATCCCCAATTTGGGCCTCATACAAACCATCCAAACTATTTTCCTCCAGTCCTCCGAAATATGGGATCCTGGAAATTGCTGGCTGCTGTTTCAAGTGTTTATAGTCCAGCATACTAACATATCTCATTCTGCAATAGAGACGCCAATTATATTTATTTGGGGCTAAATATATATTTACAAGTGTTAAATATATGAAATGCCTTAAATATGAAAAATAATGTCAAATATGAAATGCCTCTATTGTTGTTTTAAGTGTTAAGAATGCACAACCGTGTAAACAACCGGTTTTTTATTTATGGGTAAAGCTACAGTCCCGTTATATATTTTAACATGATGGTCCCGTTGTAATGCAATGGTTTTAATATCAAATGTGCAATTCTTTTTAATTAAGGGTGCAACCTTTAGTTTTCAAGTGTGCAATACCTATTTTTGTCAAGCGTGCAATATCAATTAACTGGAAGTGTAATACTTAATTATCTGTAAAGTATGCAATGGTAATTTTTTTTCCAAATGTACAATGTGTTTAACAAATTGTACAATACTTAGTTATCAAGTGTAAAATGTATTTTTTAAACTAATTGTGTAGTTTTTTTTATCAAGTGATCTATATCTTTTATCTATATAAATCTAATTTCCACATAATTTAATTTAACATCAAGTTCAAAAGGTGTGTCTTATTATAATTTTAATCAAAATTTCATACACAATGCCAAACAATGTAATAAAATGAGTGGTTTGGGATTTGAACACATGACCTCTGGTTATAATTGAAGTAGTGAGACAAACATTACCATGATTACTGCTTAGTATTTGTACAATGCCAAACAATGTATTATAATATATATATTCTTTAACATACAAAATTATTTTACATGCACAAACTTAAATGATATGTCTCTTAGCTTCATAAAATTATTTTATTAAACATAAAAAATAATTAATACTAGACATATAAATTAAATAAACAAATGTGCAAATACATATTAGTTTGTGTGCAATTGAAATCCAAAAACAGAGAAATTAATTGAGAATCTATGAGAATATTGACCATTTTAAAGGCTTAAAATTTCTTAAAATAATTGTTTTTAATTATTTTGGTAAGTTTACATGTATTATTTGGTAAGTATATCAGAATTTATGATATTTTCTAATTAATTAAACTTGAACTGGACTATACAGTTAAAATTGACGATGGAACCTTAGAATTTTCCTTTATTTATTATACACATTCCTCATTTATTTTCTGAGATAAAATCAAAAGGGTTATGCTATTTGTCTGGAATGCGCGTGTATTTAGATTCCATGAGTATTAATTCTAGTTCGTGGGATTTATATCATTATTAATATGACAAAAACAAACAAAAAAATAAAATTATAAATCGGTAGAGTTTTGCCTCTAACCAGAGTACTATCTAGAGTTTGAGTATCACTTAGACTCTTACTAGATCATGTCATCGGTCACCATTAGCTGCGATGGATCTTTCTATTGATGGAACATATATTGCAACAACATTAGAGGTAGGGACCGTAATCCAAATACATCTAGTTTCTAACGCTACTAAGGTAATAATAATTGTGAAACATATTTATGGCCTCCGAAATTGTGAGCTGTTGTTGCTTATTATAACCTTTTTTTTTTTTTTTTTTTGTGTATGGCCTTACTGTTTTACTCTTGGCAGGCTTACTCTTTTAGAAGGGGTTTCAGTTCATCGCATATATTGTACATTCGTTGTCTTTTTCTCCATTATTGGATCTCTCTGATATGGTTATTGCTTTCAGGTTCTCTGGTTCAGTTCATGTTTTTCCTTTGAATAACAAGTGAGAATTATTTATGTACCTTGTCATTTTTCATGTCATTTTTATTAGTATTTTGGACCCTTTTAAGCTTCTCTGCTGTTGTTCTTTTCTTTGAGTATTCTTTGGTGGTGCAATTTTTCATCTTACTACATTTTCTTACTTTATGGAAATGCATGTAGTTTATTCAGCCTCCATCAAAGGACTAACACTTGCATTCTGTTCTACAAAGCTACAATAATAGTGATCTGATCTCCTACGGTGGTAGTTTCTGTGAATACAGTTGCACAATTACCACAAAGAATGAAATTTTGTGGAAATTAAAAAAAGTGTTCTATCTGTAAAGGCTCAAAGCAAATAACCTTGCGATTCCATGGTCTGTTATAGTTTAAAAAGGTTGTTTAAGGCTTTTAAAAATGGATAACAATCTATAAAAGGTCATTGAATCAATAAATAACAAACATCTGTTATACCTGCCATATATTATATCACATTTGTCTAAAAAATAGTCGAGTAATATATTTTTTTTTAAAACGGCTTACAAAATATTAAACATGTATCACATGCATAAATCATAGGTTATAAAATTATATTGTTAAAATTTAATTTTAAGTAAACAGAAATGTCATTCATTGATAACATTGATTCATGCAAAGGAATATCTTTTTACACCATCAACATGCAGAATCCACACTACCGTGCCAAGTTGTCAATAAAATAAAATAAAAGGAAAGGGAAAAAAGAAGAAAAAAAGAAGCAAGTCAAGTAATTTCTTTGTACGCTTGAATTTTTATTTTTATTTTTTAATAAAAAGTGGATATCATTAATTTGCGGGGAATCCGTCTAACACGGAAAGAAGTACAAAATTCGGGATGAAATCCCAATATAGCTCAAAATTTCTAGTCTTATTTGCAAATTGAGTTAAACCATAGGTGAATACATTGAATCTTCGGCCAAATTGAGCTAAGCCATAGGTAAATACATCGAATCTTCGGTTGATTCATCTGCTGCTAAATTTGGTATCACCTTTGCTCACTTGATTTCAATTCAAAAAGTTTTACTATTTTATTATATTAACAAAAGATAAAACAATTTTTATATGTTTTTATTCAGCAAACTAATTGAAACATTGTGCAGAGCATGCTAACTATTCCAGTTTACCTTGTACAAAATGAAAAATGGAGAACAGTTTCTCAGTGGGACAATTCTGTAAAGTGCAGACCAATAAGACTAATTAATATGATTCTAAGAGTTAAGAGTAACCCATTTCTATGTCCATTTTGTTGAACTAAAACAACAACTAAGGAAAACTACACACACATACATACATATATATATATATATATATATATATATATATATATATTAGTGAGAGCTAAAAGCGAGTTATAAATAGCACCAAAATTTTTTCAGCATTTTCTAAATCTTATTAATTGAAAGAAGACTGATTCTTTCAAGTACCTGAATTTTGTTGTACTTTCCAAAGTTGATCAGTTGTATTGAGTGATCCTGGCTGATAGTTTGCCTACAAAACAAAATTATATAGATGGATAGTACACTGTTCATCCTATAAAAATAGTCACTTGAACAAATTATTTAATTTCAATTAAGTGGATTATTATAAGAAATATAGATTTTTGTTCCTACCATTTAGAATTGACCTTTTGTAGAATTTTATTCCTGCATATTATATTTGCAACTATATTATTGGCTTACGGATCTATGGCAGAGAAATAATGATTATCGGACTCTAATATTTCGTTGGAGTAATTCCATTTTGTAGAATGTATATTTAGAACTAGGTAGCGAGACTATGCAACGGAGATTAGAAGAGCCATCAAGCGGTTATTTGCTCAAATAACCACTAGTTCTCTTATGGAGTCTATATGTGAATGAACATTTTCCTGTCACAAATTCAAAACACAAAACTTATTATTTCAGACAATAATCATTTGGATGTCATAGAAAACTCGATTTCCAGGTACTACTTATTTCGGACAAATTAATTTAGCTAAAATGGACACACTCAAGTTGCTAATGTTGTAGCCTCACAACCATCATGAACACAAGCTAGGACATCTCTGTAGTCTCTTGAGATCGTGAATGAGTCGTAAACCTTTCCATCACTACTTTTCTTGTTCTCGAATAACAACGACGAACGATTGAATGCTGTTAATTTGACAAATCCCCAGTCATAATCTTTATAAATACTCCAGAAAGTATTGATCTTGGTGAATTGGGACAAGTGACTTCCTCCTCCTCCCGCAACGACATGGATGGTTCCATTTACCACCCCAGAGTAGTGTGATGTTCCTTCTTTCACACATTGATTCTAAAAAGACCACGAAAAAGTTAGTTATCAAGAGAAAATATATAAGATGGTTTATTGTCTATATGACCACCTCTAAAATTTAGAGCATTATCTTCAATATAGCTGTAAGTAACACTAAATTGAATGTCATTGTTCATTTGAGTTTACTAATGTATGAATACTTGTATGTGAATTGCGCAGTATACTAATAGAATACGATTCGTAAATAATACTTCTTCTGCGCTAAAAAATAGTTCACATTAAATTTTAAAATTTTTAGTATTTTTTAAACTAATGTCAAAACTTAATATAATTCTTTTTTTAAAACCGAAGGAGTACGTTAGCAGACGACATTATCTCGCTTTTCTCCTCGCTTCAATTCTACGAGTTCCTCCTTTTACCAATCATATGCAAATTTGAAAAAAATTTATTAGGATGTTAATTTGTTCGTGTGAGAAAAGTTCAAAAATGATTCTTGTACCTGATAAATAGGGCAAACCCTCTCATAATTATGGACATGGCCAAAGAATGCAATGTCGACACGGTATTTTTGCCATAATTTCTGCAAGTGTGCTCTTCCCTCTGGCTCTTCAAATGAACCTTCATTAGCGTACCAATCATTGGAAGAATATCCAAGCGGTCGATGAGCTGCGAAAATCAACCATGGCTGATGCTTTCTGTCTGCCGTTGCCAGGCATTTTTCGATGAATTTGTATTGCTCGGATCCCTCTCTCCAGTCATGCTCCGAATCGATTATGCAGAAACGAAACATCCCGTAATCTGTTTGATACCTGCCATTAATGAACACTCTTTCAGGATCTACATATGCTTATAGTTTTAGTATTCTTCTCCGATCCGTTTCGAAAAAAAAAAAAAAATTACTAGAAAAGATGTAATCTATCATGGCATTTCTTTAGGCCTATGTAATAAAATTAATAGTTAGTTGGTTTAATGTTACCAAAACTTGGCTCTATTTTCTGCGGGAAAATAGTAAAGGGTCTCAGCCGGCACCCCACATTCTCCACCGGAATCTTTTGTGTTAAAAAATGATCCTGAATCCAGCCAATCTCGCTCATGATTCCCACTGTCAAAAAATAAAAAATAAAAACAACGTCAACAAAGCTATGCGGGCAAAAAAAAAAAAAAAAACAAAAACTCGCAATTTTCATCATCATCTCTTCTCTAACGTAGATTAGGTCGACCAACATGACTGATGCAATATGAGGACAAACCTGGCGATCATAAAAGGTTTGACTGATGTAATGGGAGCAACTTGAGCTGTAAATTGATCCCACTGCGAAATGTATCCATTAGCATAAGGAAGATCTCCAATGAGGAAGACAATGTCGATGTTGTCAAGATCATTAATCAGTTGGTCAGTTGTCATGAGTGACCCGGGCTGATAGTTTGCATGCTCATTTGAACCATCCCTCTCTGCCTGGAAGAACAAAAATATAAAGTAGCAGAAGAAGAAGATGCACAAATGAGAACCTAAAAGCTTGGGTATCGTTTGCATTCAATATTGAAGCAACATCACTTCGTTTATATTCAGTTCACCCGAAATGATTATCTAAATTTGATTTTTATTCACATTATAAATTTTGCTAAAAATAAAATTTCAAACACGACAATGATTTTGAGACGAAAATAATATAACTATTACTCCTTATTTCTTGAATAATTACTCCAAAAATTTTCTGGGGCAAAAGATGTTTATCTTAACATATATACTAATTAAACAGCATAGGTTTCCCCTTCCACGAACAAAGATTAATTTGAGTTTAATATTTGCCAAAATATGTTCTTTTAGAACTCAAATAGATTCGCAAACATATATTCCAATTAACTTGAGAATGGAGGGAGTACTCCAAAATTTCTCAAACATCTGATTAAAAATTATCTGACAATTAGTCGACAAATCTAATTGATTTAATTAACACTTTTATTGACTTTTTTTTTCCGCATTGAAAACATACCTTTCCCATGTCTCCGAAAATGATAACACGTTGCAAAGATTCTTGTCCCGGAAATGGTGAAGCTCGGAAGCTGTAACTTTTGCTCCAAACGATTGAACCATTCATCAAAATGTGGCCTAATTTGTAGTAGTACCTGAAAGTTCACCCACAAATACATTGATATAATGATATTCAGTGAGAGTATATTAAAATTCTTTGAACATGTTAATCATTCAATCAACTTACTCCATGTTTGGCCACAAATCTTTCAAGAAGCTTGTGTGAATGTAACCTGGGTGACGCCACCCAACAGTCCGCGCTGGGGGGCCTATAAGCATTAACGCAAAAATTAACTGATCCCATATGGGGTATTTTTTGTTCCGCGATAATTATCCAATTGAAATTTTTATTTTTAGATCAAATTTTATTGAAAGTGAAAATTAAAATAAGACAATCATTTGGTGATAGAGAGAATACGGATAACAAACTCAAAAATTAAGTTATAATGAGTTTGAAAAGAAAAGGAATCAAGAAACAATACATGATTTGAACTTTGCGATATAAACTTTTACAAAGTTTTTATTTTATGCTTTCAAAGGAATAGAAAAAGAGAGTTGAAGTACCGCATAAGCTGCCTTGGTTGAATGTTAATGTTCCAGCTGGGGAACGTTTAGGTGTAGCATCTCCCTTCATCCCCCATTCCACAAAGGGATAGGCTTCGTCTATATTATATCCGCTGGTCCATGTTACCGTCATCTATGAAAAGAAAAAGAAAAATAAACATATTGACAAAAATTGAAGATTAATAAAAATGGAATATTTAACGATCCAACAGTAACATGACAGTTATCTATCTATTAGAAATAAATATTGTAAGAGATTTTGATTTGTTGGATAAAAGCTCACCTCATCCCAAGCCTTTCCACGAGCAAGTCGTGGATAAACCGGTGCTTTTGGATTTGCAAATGCTATGGTATTGGAAACCGCTATCAATTGTGGCTGCAATCAAATTTAACACTAGTAGAGAAGGATTTACTAAGTTAAAACAATCAACACCACCAAGCTAACAGAGACAAGTTTAACGATGCATGTTGAGGCATAGTGCCAAAACATGAATAGCGTAAAAGAAGTTAGAATTCGATTAATATCGTCGCATGAGATATTTTGTTACTCTTTTAATGTTAAAATTGTGTAAGGTGCACCATAATTTGACACTTGTATGTATGTATATTGCCATTTATATCTTAGATAACATCATGGCAATAAAGTGAATTATGATAACACAAATAAATAAATCTAAACATAGCGATATTTGAGTACTGTTGCATATACTATAATATAACACCAGAAGTAAGCTGAGAAAATCTTTTGAGACAAAAAAAAAAAGCGAAAGGCAGTAAGTGAAAAGGTAAACGTTACAGACATTGGAGAGTCCTCCAGCGAACAATGCAAAGGCAAAATCTGAGCGCTGATTGATCAACTGAAACTTGATTGTGTTGCGTCCCGATTTGATGTACTTTGGATTGGACTCATTCGCAAACTTTTACTATATCAATACAATAAGATGCGAATCCAAAAAAATAAGTAATAATAAAATGCCTTTGTTAGTACACAATTAATTTGTTTGTAAATATTACCCATCGTCAAGTCAATTTTTAATACTTACTGATTGACTCGGAGTACCTTAATCGGAGCTGTGCATAAGTATGGGGTTTCTGGACGCATTTCCGGTGAAGGGTAACATAGTGATTCACTGGAACAGATAAAGAAAAGAAAAAAAAAAAAACATATATAAGTGAGAAATTTAACGGTGATGTGATCGCGTAGTGTTTTACAAAGTCGAAGAACAACAAATAGAATAATGATATTTTCAGATAATTGATCTCATAGTCATATGTGGGTGAATGTAGTATAATAATAAAAAATAATAATAATTTCACTAAAAGATTACAGTAAAACAAGCAAAACTACTATGGTCAAACACACAGATGAATGGTCAGAGTTTGCAGTTGAAATTGGAACTTCTCAAGGAGTAATGTCAAATTACTTGAACTTGGCTGGGGTTGAAAACTCCAATCCAATCATCAATAGCTGGTTCCGAGTTGCAAAGCTCCACAGTAACCCATTCACTATCTGCACCCTGTTTTGTTTTATCACAATAAATTCCCAAGTTAAAAAAACAACAAATATATTGCACACATTATTTATTCTTTGAAGCTCTTCAAAAAGATTGGAGTAAATTAATTTTCAAACAAATGTTAGAACACAAAATGCCACTTCTTCTGTACAGTTAATAGTAATTATTTTTTACCTTGTAATCAAATGTAAAAATAACTACAACAGTTTCTTTTGTACTCATTCCTTTCTAAATTAATTTTTTTTTATTTGTGTTCATTTTTTAACCGAAGAATATCTATATATACAATAGAGAGAACTATGGTTTTAATAATAAAATCCGATTAGTGGTTATATGAAATTTATGCCGACAGAATATATCAGCATATGATATCAACATTCAACATGTCCCATTGAACATATCCTGTCCCCAAAAATGGACCACCACAGTATATATTGTTGACCTTGATGTGTCTAATACTATCTTTTTTCAAAGGATAAGTTCACATATATTATTTTAAGTTATGTTAAAATGTAAATCTATTTTGTTTTCTAATGTATAATTTTTAAAATTTTATTTTATTTATTTTTTTAGGAGAATCTAGGGCGGTACTTAACGGAAGAAATCTGATTTTCTTAATTTAAACAAAAGAGTTACATAAAATAGTGATTAAGACTTACCCGATTTTAGAAGAAACTGTCTCACAAAAATTTACTAAAAACTCCATGATGGTTGATTTTTTTTTTTCAATTTAACTTACCATTGTTATTTAAAATACTACTGATAGTATCTGATACACTAGGGTGCCGAAATTCGCAAGTAGTTAGTATCTGAATCCAAGTATTAGTCTAACTAATTAAAGGTATAATAAAATTTTTATTTGTTAACCTTTAATCCTTATTTTACTCAGAGTGGACTTACATTTTTTTTTTAAAAAATAATTATACCTAATTTGTCACTTTGCGGCTTAAACATTTAACCTAACGTTTTGCACATTAATTTGGACCCCAACAATATTGTCCCTACTTTTTTTTTTTTTTGAAGACAGTATTGTCCCTACTAACTTTGACAGTCTTTAGAGATGCATAATTGAAGGCCGGGTACAAAGTTTGAGCTACCTTTCCCTGGAAAAATAAAATTGTAGACGGTTAAAATGTCATTGTAATTAAACAGTAATTAAATTAATTTTCCCAGTATATTGCCATACATTTATATTTGTGTTGGTTTTATTTTCCAACAAAAAGTTTCTAAAACAATTTCTTTAATCTCAAAAAGTCCAACCCCTCGCATTTTAGAAAAATAACTCAGTTTATTGCTTTATGGCACATGATCTTTTGCGCTATTTTCTTATTATACTATTTATTACACAAGTCAATAATTTTGTATAAATTTTGTCATGTTTGTTAATATATACACTATTCACCATCACTCAAGTTATATAAATTTTTAAACTAAAAGTTCACTCTTTTCGGACGAGACTCTATTTTTTTTTTAAATTTTCATAATTAAAAATTTCAGTAAAAATGGTCATATTTTATAAAAATAATAACACTAAATCAATAAAATAAAATAAGAATATGAAAATTGTCCACGATAAAGATGTGTGTTTATGATATAAGTATTTAACATAAGTTATACAATTTATCAAAAAAAATTACATTGTGTAACGGGAAATTGTTACAAAGAATCAAGTTCCTGGTTTTACATATGATATTCATGAATGGAATAAGATGCAAGCATGTGAAAACATTTCAAGAAATCACAACAATTGGGTCAAAGCAGATTCAAACAGTGCTCGATCTGTGGTGATTGACACCTCTTCAGATATACAAGTGAACCAATGGTGCATGAACAATTTTCTGTCCTATAATCATCACCTTATTTGTGCTAGTTATACGATAACTGACTTAATAATAATTTTGGGATGAAAGAAATATAATAATAAGACTGAAAAAAAAAACTAGTGTAGATTTTCTTAATAGTCAACTTGTTAATACTGACTAGCATCATTGGAATCTAGCCAAGTAGTAAACACCATTTCGATGGCTAGCAAGCATTTGAATTACATTGGAATAACTAGAGTCTATAACTGAAGACTTGTTTTGGATCCATATCACTTAATAATAAACGCTTATATAGAAAAGACTTCTTGTTTCAGACAATAAGAGTATAACTTGAAAACTAACAATAAGTTTGAATGTAACGAAGAAAGATTGAAAAAGAGGACCAAAAGGGGATGGAATACATTACATTTAGACCAAGAACTAGAGGAGTGGATTTGATGGATGCAGAATCCCGAAGAGCCAGAACAGTCTTATGAATAGCTATTTGAGCTAGGGGCTGTTCTCCTCCATGGATGATAAGCTTATTAATTGAAGTATGTGCAGCAGCACAGATTATGAAGCAAAACACATAAATTGTGGTGAAAAGGAGAGCCTTCATCTTCTTCTATGGCTTCCTACTAATAAATTAGACATGTATGTTGAAGCTTTTTAAACTCTTTTATAGCACCCAATTGAAACACATTTGAGCAAAGGGTGTATTTTTTTTATTTTTATTTTTTTGTTTCTTTTGTTTTGATGAGGAATCGGCTTGACCACACTCTTTTCATCCCAAAAGAACTTAGAAAAATCTACTTATAATATTTTAATAATCTGAACATACTCTTTTAATGCGGTTAAATTTTTAACTAAACTTATTTTGAAGTGTAAGTGGAGAACCTTTCTATATCACATCTTGGTTACCTTCGCAATCCTTAAAATCAGATGAAGGTAGCTACGTAGGCGACTTTTACTCATTGTTAAATCTTAATAGTACTAGTGATGTCTGGTCGCGCAATGTGCGACCCTGACCCAATATATCTGTTGATCTAAGAAATGTTTGTATCTGGAAAAAAAATATTTTGTATTTGACCCGATATATTTTAGAAATATTTGAAGAATTTTAGAAATGTTTTATAACTGTGATGTTTGTATTTGGCATAAAAATAAATTGTATTTGGCCCGGTACGTTTTAGAAATGTTTGAAGATTTTAGAAATATTTTATAAGTGTTACTTCTTAAATATAAATAAACTTGATCAAATATATGTCTTGAAGTAAATGCTAGAAAAAAATATAAAAGCATCCTAATAAGTTTAAATATTAGTAAGATAATTTATTGATGTTCTCCATTGGTTGTGCCAAATCAATACTTAGTTTTGGAGATTTATAATAGCTTTGTAGTTAGCTTCCTCCAAAGGGTATACGCTTAATTGTTGGAACTATTTCTTCCAAAAGTTTATAGGTAGTAAAATATCAAAAATATGATTTTGATACTGGTTAATTGTTGAAGCTGATTGATCACAAGTATGAGAATGAAAATAATGTAAATTTGTATAGGTTTCAAGATATAGCAAAAAAGAACTCACCTCACCATGGCAATAAAAAAAAAAGAAAGTAAAAGATAGCCCCTTAAAATTTGAGAATTTTTATTTTTTTTTTCTGTAGGTAAAAATGATGTATAAGAACACAAATAAACGTAGAAACATCATTCCTTCCCTCTCCACCTCAAATTCATAAAATACTTCCCCATAAATTAATTAAAAGAAGCGACCTGAACTATTTATATGATGAAGAACTAAAAAAAGTCCAAAAACCAAATCCAAAAAAGTATATGCTTGAAACCCCGAACACAAAAAAAAAAACGTATTTCATTTGCAAATAAAATAATAATAATAATAATAATAATAATAATAATAATAATAATAATAATAATAATAATAATAATAATTGGTCAACTGGGAGTATGAAACAAAATCAAAAGCAATTAAACAAAAAAAAAACACACTTCATAACTGGCCATATAAGAAAAAAAGCTTGAGACTCCATAATTAAAAAAAGAAAACCACTCTAATTGAATGAAACATAAAAAATAAATTTAAAAAATCACATTTTCAACAAAAACTCAATCAATCAATTCAATCCAAACATAACTAAAATCATACAAAAATTCTAAACTAACTAACTAAATAAGAAATCATATCGTACTACTGACAATGGCTCCGGTAGCTGTAACGGATGGACGCATAAAAATAATAGTAATAACATTATTCTTGAACGGAAAAAATAAAAAATAATAAAAGCCAAACAATTTATCTGCGGAAATAAAATCATTTAAATTTTAATACCTGTAATGGCACCACCACAACGGCCGAAGTAAGATCAATGAGAATTTTTTTTTCCCTTTGTCTTTATATAGAGAGGTAAAGAGAATATTTTTTGAAGTTAAAATTTTATCCGATTAGGATGTAGTTGATCATCACTAATGAAAAGATTGAACATGCTAATAGGAAAGGAGTATATTTCACCACATATTCTCAATTGATGATTGATGAGGAATTTATTTTTTTGTTTAATTGTGGAGACCGGATTGATTAAGGAGTCAATTGTCGTGGCGATGGGGATGAGGATTTGGGTTTTTTATGAACCCCTGGTTTTTTTTTTTGACGAAAATAGGAAGTGGAAATAAATTTTGACTGCATTTGCCTTTTAAGTTTAGGAGATGTGGAAATAAAAATTTATTTTAAAATATAATGTGGAAATGCCACATGGCAAATGGTGGTGCTTTCTCTTAAGTGTGATTTTTGTTTCTAATATAGTAAGATATTCTTAGGAGTAGATGATACCCTTTTTTTAATTTTTTTCTTTCAAATAATTGAATAACTTAAGTAATAATTAAACCTTCAAACTCCTGATGCTTAATCACCATCCACATCTAACCGTCTCACCCCTTAAATAATGATACTCTAATTATTAGTGAAACTTTATCGAAAAATGTTTTAGTTAAGATGGTTTATAAATGAAAAGATAACAATAATTTCAATGAAAATAGTGGGAACGAAAATACAAAATCCAATGAAAAGAGTTAGTTAAATCGAAATACAAATAATTAGGATATATTAATAGCATCTATAAATTAATAATTTTCTCTGGTCCTAAGTCAGGACAAATATGAAAAAGGAAAACTATTGATAAAATAGTAAGATAATAAGTTTTTAGAAATTCTTTATATAAATAATGGTCCCATCAATAACATCAGTTAATAATTATACAAAATAAAAATTTAAACATAGAAAAATTTATTAAAATATGAATATCAAGATTTTTTTCTTGAATTTTTGTATTAATTATAAGATTATGAGACAAAAATTAAAAGTTTATAAATCAAGTTCGGCTTCATCTCCTAATTCTTCGAAATTAGAAACTCAATTCGAGAGGGGGAGAAAAAGATAGAGAAAGGCAGTTAAGTTTTTCTTGACCTCAACTCAATTTGTCTCATGAAATTTAGATAATCAATTAATTGAAGAAAATAAGATTGCCAGTTCTATATTCGGAATTAGAGTGTTATTCATTACTCTACTTCTAATTTCCATTTTGAGAAAGCCTGACTACTACATCCACAGTTATACTTGACTTACCAAAAATAGGCGATTATGTTCCTTCCACAGTTCCATATGTGGTCTATACTAATAATAGAAATAATAAATCTACATATAAAATCTTCTTTTTGAGCTTCAATTTTCTTGCAGACATGGATGGTTGCAGTTGTCCACATCCAATCCGTTGGAGACCCCCCCAAAACTGATACGAGCACCTAAACGAATTTTTATAGCCACACGACTGATTTCGATTTACAACACGTTTTTTTTTTTATCAAGTACTATTATTGATCGAGACATATCATAATTGTCCAAATATCACACATCGCACGTTAAAAAAACTCTATAAATTGGAAACCCACTTTTTCACTTGTGAATGTAATTTGTTTGCAGATGATATCGCGCAATTAGCTCAAAAAGAAAAAAAAAAAAAAATTAACAAGAGAGTGTCTCATCTGTCTAGTCCGCTTTATGGAATGATTTCCGTAAATCAAAATTTTCTAGTCACTTTTTGTGCTTTATATAATATTACATAAAAGTAAAAATTCAAATTAAACCATCATTCATATAAAAAAATTTGACCTCGGCTGGCTACAACCGCACCTATAGGCACGGATACGCGAAAAAGGACCAAACTGTGCTCCCAAGGTGGTGGCGTAGGCAAAACTGAGACTAGGTTTTCATAGGAAGAAAGAAATATTTTTCTCGCAATTGGCAAATGCGAAAAAACAGACTTTCGCATTCAACGAATGCGAAAATTTATTGAATTAATTACAATGCATTAAAGATATTGGATTAAAACTGGATAATTATAATTATTTTAAGTGTTCGCATTTAGCGTATGCAAAAGTTAACTTTTCGCATATGCCATATGCAAATGTTTTAAATTTTTATTTAAAAAATATTTCCTAACTTTAAATTGGTATAAAATGAAATGTTGTAAATTAAATATTTTGGTTGATAAAATGTTGTAATATTTCAACAAAAAAATACTATTTTAATTGAAAATTAAATTTTCTAAATTTAAAGTTTTCATTTGATTTAAGTAAATTTATGTTAGTTCTAAATAGAATTGCAATGATATGAATTATATTTGGTGAACAGAAATCGTATAATGCATTTATAATAAAATTTGAATAGTAAGTAAATTAAAATTTTGGTGAAAAATTAGAATATAATCTTGCCTTTTATAACCAAGTTTGCTTTAAAAAAAATTGATTTTTATTTGGTTTCAACTTAAAAACTTACCATCATTCAAAATAAAATGTCAAAAAATCAAGTTTAGTAAATTTTGGATAATAATTTTTTCTTGCTTCCATCTAACATAATCAGTCCTGCTAAACTTGGTAAAACCACACTTCTTTCTAACAATGATCTTTTGGCGACCTGGGAACTTGAACTTGGCACAACACAAAAAATAGTATTGTATAAAAGTAAGAGTTTAGAAAATTGTACATAATATTGTCTTTTTGATAAATTTTCTTCTTTAATGTTTGCCTTTTATTGTTGTTAAACTTAAAACTATTGTATCATTTTAAAAATTCAAAAGCTCGAGTTTACTAAAGATTAAATAAAACCGAAATAAATTATTAAGGAAAAGAAATGAAAGGCATTGTTTAAAACTAATAACAAAAGTCATAAAATAGCATAAAATAAAAGTACAATTCAATCTAATTTTTCTACTTCTTGCGCTTTTTCTCTCGAGAATCTGTCATGCATCACTTTTTCTTCTTCTTCATGTTCTGATGTCCCTTACCCAAAGCAAGCGATGTAAAAGGCATGGTACCATTACTGGGGCCCTGTCTTGGGCACTGGCTCGAGCCCTCACCCTGATCAGGGCCCTCATCATGATCCTGAGAGGAATGCTCAGCATCATCAGAATCATTGGTGCTCTTATCATCATGCTCCTGATCCCGATTATCCTCCTGATCCTGATCATCCTCCTGATCATTATGGATAGGGTCACCGCCTAGATGCTGACTGTGATGACAACCCTCGTAACTAGTCTGAAAGAAACCCCTCGC